TTTTTTCAGTGCTGACTCCTTTCTATTTTCCTTTAACTACTCTCCCAGTCAGGTGTATTATTTCCTTTGGGTTCTTTGGTGATGTTGGCCTTGCTGTCTGGGTTTAAATTCCATTGAGCATTTTCTGCAATGCTGGTTTTGTAGTCCTGAATTTCTTTAGATTGTTTTTTTTGTAAAAAGTTTTTATTTTTCTGTCAATTTTGAAGGACAATTTTGTAGGATGTAGTAACGTAGGTTGGCAATTGTTTATTTCTTTTATGGTTTGAAAAACTTCAATCTCTCCCAGCCTTTAAGATTTGTGTTGAAAAATCTGTTGTTAGTCTGAAAGGCTTGCCTTTATTATTTAGTGTTTTTCTCTAATGGCCTTTACTATTCTCTTTGTTCTGGGTTTCTGGGATTTTCACTTTGATGTGTCTTGCAGAGGTTCTATTCTGGTCATTTCTATTTGGGGTTCTAAATGTTTCATTTACCTGAGTAGCTACACAGTCTCTGGATTTGGAAAGTTTTCTGCAGAGATTTTGGTGAAGAAATTTTTTTCTACCTTTAATATTTTTCTCCAGCTCTTCCTTGACTCCTGTAATTCTTAGGTTAGTTCTTTTATAGTCATTAAGAGCTCTTGAATCAACCTTTTTTTAAATTATATATAATATTTTTGATTTTTTGTTTTTTTGCAACAGGGTCTTAGAGAGTATAGTTCAGGCTGGCCTTGAATTCATGGCTCTCCTCTAGCCTCAGCCTCCTGCATCCTGGAATTACAGTCATGTGCCATAATGCCCAGCTGAATCAACCTTTTTTTAGAATATTGCTAAGTAAGTGATATACTACATCATTCTTGTCCTATAGTAATGAAATTCTCTCTTCTGATTGGTTATGTCTATTAGCATACCTTTTACTTGTGTTTTTCATTTCTAGGATTTCTGCTTGATTCTTTTTCCTAACCTCTAATTCTTTACTAAAATGGTCATTCATACACTGCATTGTCTTCTTTAACCTAATCAGAGGTTTATGTCTTCTTTAAGCTCAATAAACATCTTACAAATTAAGTTCTTTATTTGCTTACATGCATCCCTTGTGAGCTCATTGAACATCTTATATATTTGCTTGTTTATTCTTCGATCTCTTCGAACATTTTAACTATTTTTTTTAGGTCTTTGGCTGAAACTTCCTCAACTTCTGTGCCTATGAAATCAGCTTTTGGGGTGTTACAAATTTTTTGCACCATCCAATTGCTGTGGGTTTTTTTCACAATTACTGTGTTTTTGTGTTGAATGCTATAGATCAGTTGGGCTAGGAAGCTCTGTCTTTAGAGTAGAGATACCTAGAACTGAATTGCAAGGAGAGAACAATTACTGGCAATATATCAACATGCAAAGAACCAATCGTATACTGACATATAGTTTAGACCTTGTTTAGCAAGTTTTCCACTCTTTCAATAACCCAGGAATACAAAGAATTAGAAATGGTAGAGAAAGGACTTGGATGTAGGATAAGTCAAAAGAAAAAAGGAATTTAAAAATACAAAAGAGATGGGCCGGGGATTTAGCTCAGTGGTTTCACCACCTGCTTTGCAAGCACAGGGTCCCAAGTTTGATCCCCAGTACCAAAAAAAAAAAAAAAAGAAAAATACAAAAGAGAAAAATAGGAGGCTAAAAAGAAACAAAAATAGACACAAGAAAAAGGTTTTGATGATACGTTTATACTCATAAACAAGGGGGGGGTTGAAAAGATCTGTGTGGGGCAGAGGGTTTGTTTTCTTTAAGTAACAAATGAATTATTTTATTCATCTTTGTAGATAACAGGCACTTGGAGGTTAATGAATGATGGAGACAGTTCACCCTTTCCTCTTAAAAAAGAGGCTGACTTTTAATAATACAAAAGCCAAACTTATGATTCTCAGGTAACAAATTAAAAATCACTGGATGATGAAAGTACTGTTTTTCACATGGAAGTTTTGGGTTACTTAAAAGCCTAGTAAACATTCATAGGGCACTGCAAAATGAAACAAAAAATTTCAATGTCTTTCATGAGTTCCAATCTAATTAGTGTATGACTGCATAAAGAAAATCTCTCACCCTAAAACCTACTGGTAGACAAAAATTAAACTTACGTACACACTATAAATGTGATTTCTTTTTTTTGTTTCTTTTGCAAAAGCTTCTGTTTATTTAACCAAGTGACACGTCAAACTGACAGGATGTACTAACATTACTTGTGTAAGATAAATTTAAACTCCCACACAATCCATGTATTAGAGCTTTAATGTTGATAATATTTAAAAGCTAGTATTTAATTACAACATTTACTGAGCTCATTTAGTTACATAAAAATGCTTTCAGTCAAGGTCTCTGGGTAGCTCGACCATTTAAATCATACCTCTGGACTAGCCATTTATCCTCCCCTATGTGCTTTGTTAAGGTCCATCCTACAACCATATCCCTCAGGTGACTCACTGTTCACTGCAATCACTGACAGAACAAAGGCTTACAGTAAAACCTTGAGACTAAATTAAGAGATAAGCTCTCTCTTTCCTAACAACTCTTTGGGATCTTGTATCACTTCATAAAATAGACGCTACATTGGCTTGATTTTTTTAAAAAGGACTTACCTCTCGTAAATAATGATCTTTCATGGCTGCAGCAAATAAAAACTTTTCACTTTAATCTTTATTATTTATCTTCATTTTATTACATCAGGGTTGGGGGCCTCCAAATTTCATCAACTTTTCTCCCTTAAAAGCATAGCCTCTATGCAAATCAAGTATGGCTTAATACCATTTTACAATTATGCACTAATTCCTACAGTATCCCAGAAAAAGCCCAATGAGTTTTTCCATTTTGATCAGCTATCTATTGTCTGTTTTAACTGGAGCTGAAAAAACAGAAGACTTAAATAAACTGAAAGTCATTACTGGTTTTTTGTTTTGTTTTGTTTTTGTTTTTGGTACCGGGAATGGAACTGTTACTTAGTTTTTTAAAAAGACATTTAAGTAATTCTACTTGAGGATATTTTCTTTTGACAGCCACTTATTTATACTCTGAAACAAGCTCAAAATATAAAATTAGTATTTAAAATACATACAAAAATTTAAAAAAAGAAAACCAGACAAATGAGTAAAGTACACTTCAGTTTAATCACTGCACACAAATTTGTGAAAAATATTAAGACATATACTTTAAGTTACAAAGGAGATTTAAGACTTCTTGTTCATTTCTAAATATTACAGTATGGTAATGTGGCTGCTCACTCTATTAGATGCATTTAAAATTACATACTTAAACAGTTTTTCAGTCTGGTTTTCCCTGCTAGGAAAAGACACAGTTCCTTAGAAATTTACTTCCCTTTAAATCTTAAGACACAAATTGAGGGTTCATACTTTGAGTGCTTATCTAGAAGAATAGATCACTATATCACATACTCAAGATTATTAATTTCATATTTATTTTTAAAACTGTGACTGCTCATACTAAAAAGCATGAGAGTTCACTGATTCACAATGTTCAAGGAGGAAACAACGTGAAAATCTTTAGACTCCATTGACATCACCTGAATGTGGCTAAAAACGAGAGGGACAGATCCTTGTGTCACACAGGTTAAGGACAAAACAGGGCATAAATTAAGAAATAAACTCAAAGGCTAATTTTTACTGGTATGCACGAGTCCCAGAAACCAGTGTCTCTAATCAAAGAGTTCGAATAATTTATGAAATAATACACGTGAAAACTTTATGCCTCAAAGAGAGCCCCATGATCAATTGGTCTGCATGACCTGCTTTGATGAACCCTCCTCCTTCCCAACTCAGTTAGTCACGAGTCATGCCAATGATAGCTTTAACAAGAAGAGAAAAAAGTTCTGGTATTTTAAATTATGTGACAATCAAAAGCAATGAGAAAAACCATTTGGCTATCAACTAAAAAGAAAACTTGAAGCCTTAAGAGTTTGTATTCACAGTTTATTGAGTGAAGGCCCAAAAAAAGTGAACCAGAGTAGGGGAAATGTGTGTTGGTAAAATAATCATCATTTTAATATTCCTAATGCAAGTAATATCCAAAGAGATGTAGAAATTCAGATTTCTCACCTCTTCAATCAGTCCAATTTCAGTTAATTTAAAAGTATATATACGGGGGCCCGGGATTTAGCTCAGTGGTTCCACTGCCTGCCTCACAAGCACAAGGTCCCGAGTTCGATCACTGGTAACAAAAAAAACAAAAAACAAAACAACGAATAATTATATATGGAAGTATAAAATAAAACTCATCAGAAAAGCATCTTCAAAAGAGATAGTTTTAAGGAAAACCATTTCCACTGTATTTACACCATTTATTATATAGATTAAACTGTGAAAGGCAATGAAACTTAAGCCCTTGGGCAGTTTCATATTAAAACGAGGATATCGGTCCTTGGCCTAAGATGGCGGCACAGCTGGTTGCCCATTGCTAGGGTCTCAGGCTGTTTGGAACTGGGACCTGGAGTTGCCTCGTACCTGTTGAGTCGTACACACCTTCGTGTCTAAGCCATGTGTGAAGTTGGCTCTAAGTTCTAGAAGATTGTGAGAGATTTCATTCTGCCTCTCCTGTCCAGGTGCCAGCCTAAAACTCAAGTCATTTCCATGTGGCAGGAATGCTCCTATCCTATTTGAAAGCAGAAAAATAGATACCATTTTACAGGCAAAGCATTGACCTTCTCATCCATCTTGGCTCTATCACAGGTCTCCTTTGCTGTTTTCTCTTGGCTGTGACAATCTGATGGTCATTATAATAGCAGTTTACCACTAGTATAAACAAAAGGATTATTTGTATATTTTGTGAGAGGTTCACCAACACCATCAAAAAGTTCTGTAGTACCACTGGCCTTCTATACTTGATCACCATCATATTTATGTCAACATCTTCACTTCTCATCTAAACCAACCAAAGAACCATTGCTGGTCTCCCAGGACCTACTGTGGTCAAGAGCTCATTTGCTACAGCCTTTAGTAATATTTTATCTGAGAGAATTGAAGCATGGAGCCTGTGTCAATTCCTGAACTGACTGGTGGACTTATTGATTGTGTAGCCCAGTTAATAAGAATCGCTGAAGAGATTTTACACTTTATCACACAACAGCAGCAAGTTCCTCGTTTAGAGCAGAATAATAGAGTAGAGCAGGTAGAAGCAGATGTGGCTCCTCCAGATAAACCCTCACTACCAGATCTTGCTAATTTCTCTGACTTAGAATCAATACTTTCATTAAGAGATGATTGAGACCTAGTCCTTGATATAGATCAAGCTTTGTTAGATATAGGCGTTATAAATGAGGATTTATTATCTGGGATCAACAATAATTTAAGAAGAGAATAAGTCTCAATTTTCCTTCACAACATGTGAAAACTGATCATTTCTCTGTTTCAAACATATTCTAATTTTTCTGGACATTAGCTACGCATTTTCATTGTTAAAACTTATAGCGCAAGTAAGATTTATTTTCCTTCCAGTAAAGACTGTTCTTTTCTTTGTTGTTATTCAGAAACTTCATTTTATTTTTTATTTTTATTTTTTTGGTACTGGGGATCGAACTCGGAACCTTGCGCTTGCGGCAGAACCACTGAGCTAAAGCCCCGGCCCTAGAAACTTTAGAAATGTTGTTTTTCCTTTACTTCTTCTCCTGTTCTTCTGTTAGGATTTCTGATGATAGACACAAATAATAGCAAAGAAAAGAATCTCTTTCAAGTTAACAATGAACTGAAGACCTTGGACCTCTCATATATTGGGACCCAGTTTCATTGTACTACAATGATAAACAAATTAAAAGGGGAATAACCCCCAAATGATACTATAGTGACTATTAACAGGTCAATTTTAGGATACTTGTAGTTGAAAATATATAATCTCTTACTGAATCTTTAAGAGAAGATTTGTCAAACACGATGCCATAGCAGACTAAGGGGGATAATTCTGAAAGAGTGACATCTACCAGATAATAAAACTACAGAAGGATATTCAGATGAATATTGCAAAGGAGAAACCTTTGAAAAAGCTGGGGCTTAGAGGTTCTAATGTAGGACTGTTCCCACAAATGCTGAACCATATTGCAACTACTCTGCAGTATTATTCTCCAAATGGAAATTGCACATTATACCAAATAACTAAAGAGAAGTACTAGAATGCCTAGACAAAGCCCTACAAAGACTATTCACCAGTGGAAGACAAACACCTATTATAGAAGCCTAGAGATGATGGTCCACACAGGAGAGTGTATAGAGTGTATCTTCTTGCTTGTATAACTGAATTTAAAATGAATACTTGATAGGCTTGCTACAGTGGACCTGCTACAGCTTCAACCTAGCAATATTTTTTTACTGAGAGGTAAGATCAGTAACGAATATAAACAAAATATGGACTGGTATTTAGTCATGATAATTCTCCACATACCAGAAGGGGAAAATGCAGTAGTTGAAGGACTCCCACATCAAAACAGAGGGAACAAATGTGAAGGAAATTCACTGAAAAAAAAAATATATATATAATACTAATTCCACACCACAGAGTCCCTTTCACTTCTGATTAGAAGAATAGCTATCCTTCAGACAGGCCCATGGACATTACGGCCTGCCTTCCTAGAGACTGGCCTTTGCATCTCATGACATGGCTAACAAGCTAGGTAAATACATAAAGGTATACCATCAGCAATGTGGTGTGTAGAGATTGTGAGGAAGTGATATGTAGAAGGGAATCCATCCTGGTGGGAACCAAATTACACTGATTTATATTGAGTTCCAGAGCATATTATAATCAAAAGGATTACAATGGCATTTAATACAGATGATTTCAGGGCTAATCACATGACAGAGACTGCATCTAATATTAGATGAGGTCTGCATACATAGACAATGAGCTACCTTTAAAGATAAATGTAGAAGGCCAGGGATTTAGCTCAGTGGTTCTGCTGCCTGCCTTGCAAGTTCAAGGACCCAAGTTCAATTCCCGGTACCAAAAATAAATAAATAAATAAATAAAGATAGATGTAGAAAACTAGAGTATGTAACCAGGTCTTATTTGGATGAGCAGTAGTAGGAGAAACATGAGTCAGTTTGGACACTGACTTCCAGTGATTTAACAATTTTAATAAAGTGATAGTTATATCCAGAAAAGCTACTAGAGATCCTTTAGAAAAACTAGAACAGGCCAGGGATTTAGCTCAGTGGTTTTGCTGCCTGCTATGCAAGCGTAAGGAGCCGAGTTCGATCCCCAGTACCAAAAAAAAAAAAGAAAAATTAGAACATATAGAGCTGTTTAACGTATTAGTATGAAAGACTTCCAGCTGTGTGGATAGAATGATAAGAGTAGATGGGGATCCAAGAGACTTGGAGGGGAAACAAAAGGCACAAATAGGGAAAATAAAACTTATTTCCTCAAACAATGACTGTGGGTAATTACAAGCCACACTGGGCAGCAGATTATGAAACTTTGCTGCTATAAGAACTGAACAAATTGAACCTTACTTTGCCAGTGTAGGGGAGTCTATAGATACACCGTTAGGTTCAAAATGGCATATGATTTTTGCACTGCAAAAGAACTGTGCCAAAGTAACCTAAATAGAACAGCAAGAAACCAAAAAGAATCAGCTTATCCCTCCATCCCAATAGGAACAGTTTACAAGATTACTGATGGCAGTTAAACAAGGAAATCTATACACTTAGTGAAAATTTAGCATTCTTACATTGAGTAAATAAAACAAAGGACCTGATAAAAGTTGAAAACATAGAATCTATGCTTTAATTAAAGGTTTATGAGAGCCAAGGAAGATAGACACTCCCCATAGGGAATTTGGGATTTAGGAAATTGGTCTATAATTTATCTCAAAATAAAATTTAAAGCATAAATACCTGGACAAGATCAGGAAACATATCCAAAGAGAGACCATTAGTCTGCTATAAATTCTATTTGGTGAGCAATTTAGCTGAAAAAAAACAAAAGACATGTTCTTCTTCAAACACAGTAGATACTGAAGGACAGCTATCTGTCCAAGTAGAACTCTAGTATGTGGACTTTACTGAGCTTGTCAAAACTCGTAGGGTCTTCTGAGAAAACATAAGCAACTCTACTCACTCAAGCAGGTCATTAAAATAACATCAGGAGAAATCTGTAACACTACTCCAGGCCTTGAAAGAAGACTTGAACCAGCCTGGAAAACAGCTGCCAAAACAGTCCTTAAGAGTCAAAGCAGATGGGCTGGGGATTTAGCTTAATGGTTTCACCGCCTGCTGCGCAAGCGCAAGGACCTGAGTTTGATCCCTGGCACCAAAAAAAAAAAAGAGTCAAAACAGGAAGATGCTACAATCTCATTGCATGAAGATCTGGCCAGCCTCTTCTATACCAGGATTCCTGGAAAGGTTAAACTGTAATGACACCTTGGGATTAGACACGCTTCAGTGTTTGTTTTGATTGTGTAATTATATGTGTTTAAGAATTGTTAAGATGTTATCCTACTCCAAAGAGATTGTTTTATTAATTAATATTTGCTGTGTGAAATAGAATTAGAAATAGTTAGTAGTGATAAGTAAGTTTAGAAAATAAGAAAATACTTAGGGATAAGAACTATGGGGGGAGGTGTTTTTAGGAGAGAGCAGAACACTAATAAATTGTCAAAAGTTATGCAACCATTTAGGGTAGAAAGCCATTATACAGGGTTTGTTCCTAAGCAGGTTTATGAACCAGCCTATTTTTGTCTTATGCAAATTAGCTAACCCTAAGATGCTGATATAAATCTAAAAACTCATTAGAAAAAGAAGTGTTAACTAACTTAGCCCACTGGTTGGATGCTGCTGATCGAAATCCTGAAACTCCTCCAGAAGAATGGAGAGAGTAGCTTGTCCTTTATCCAGACTACCCCTTTTCTAGATCTTGAGATTAGGTGCCCTAGCCAGTTCTTACATACAGTGGAGGAATAGAGAGGTAGAGGGGCTTGTCCTTCTGCGACAAGCTTGAAGGGGTTAAACTTAAGGGGATTAGGATGATAGATGGCAGTTAGGTAATAGCACAAGTCTTCATCCATATCCACTTTGGCTACATACTTGTGTCCTTACATGTGATGATTACTTCCAGTTATTAGATTATAATTGTTTATGATCCTTATTAAATGTTGGTCCAAACCATTTTATTGTTTTATTTTAAGAGGCTTTAACTAATAAAATTTCAGTGCAAAGCAGAAAAAAAAAAGAGGATATCTTGTAAAACATATTTTATCATCAGTTGATAAAGCTAAGGTTTTTTTTTTAAAGACAATACATGGGCCAGGCGTGGTGGGCACTCCTGTAATCCCAGCACTCAGGAGGCTGAGGCAGGAGGATTGCTATGAGTTCAAGACCAGCCTGGGCTACATAGTGAATTGAAGGCCAGCTTGAACTATATAGGAAGACCCTGACTAAAAAAAAGACTTAACACATGACTTTCAGGTAAAATAAAATAAAGATGATCTGTTTTCAGAATGGCTAATCACTATACAGTTTAAGCAAGTACAAGATGAGCTACTTTCATGGCTAGAGCATCTCAAAATAAACATAATGCTTAAATTAAAGAGGAAGAACCCATAAAGTCTAGTATCAATGCTACAGATCTGAAAGGATGCTTCACTTCAGGCTTGTACAAAGTTGTAGACTTTATTCCTCCCTCTTCAGTGTCTTCAGGTTGTATCAATATAAAAGCATAATATGTAAGGGTTAAAGAAAATCTCTCATGAATGGTTCAAATAATGAACTCTGTTATGGTGAAAAAAATGTTAATAAAAAATGTTAACATCTTTCAAAATCCCATTGCCTTTCCAAAAAAATTACTTGAGAAGTCTCACTAGGTTACTTGACAGGTAGTCAACTTTCATTTCAATATTTAAAAGTTAGGGGGGCTGGGGATTTAGCTCAGTGGTTCTGGGGCCTCCCTCGCAAGTACAAGTTCCTGAATTTGATCCCCAGTATCAAAAAAAAAAGTTGTTATTCTTAGTTCAAAGTTAAATGAACTAAGGGGTACAGCAACATTAACAGGTTATACTTTACAGAAAAAGATGAATAAAAAGTCATTATTTACATGTGTTACTAAAAGCATTTAAAATCAAATAAACAGTATAAAAATATTTTCTGGCTTATGATCACACATCATTTATCACTGCTAGAAGTGAGGAAACTTACTTTTTCTTAGGTTGATTCATGCTGTAAAGTTAAAAGGTGAATATGAAAACCACCACTGGAGGGACTTGAATCAATGACCCTGGACCCTTTAAAGTCTTGGACACCTTATTTTATACCAACAAGGGCAGAACCAATTGGATCTTTGGCTCTTCCTTTTATGTACAATATATCTACTTAGGT